AGTAGTAGTAGCAGTAGTACACCTCGCTATCATTAACTATAATTGTAAATTAGAATCTTTTTCTCTGTACGGCGATGGTGCTAGCTGGTACATGCATACACACACACACACATGCCTTGAGTCTCGGTGTATATTATGCTTGCACGCGCGAGACCGCGCGAGCGGCTTATTAAGCCGGCGAGTCGGCCGATGCACAGTACAAGCAGCGGTAGAAGATCGCTCTATTTGTGACTTGTTTATGTGGAAAGAGTAAACAATCGCACACTTTTGATTAAAAATATCGAGGCACTCTGACGATCGAACCTGAACTTCGGTGGCGCGTAAAAAAAATATTCACTACAATGAGTACGATAAGTAATTAGGAATCTCGCGAATAAACGGCAATGAAACTTTTCACTCGAGTGACAGATCCTCTCTAAGTTTACACACAGCGCACCACCGGGTCGCACTGACAGCTCGAGTCAATGCGATCGCTATTATACGCAGTATATGCAAGTCCCTCGTTGGAGAGCGTTCGCGTGTCGAGCTCGGGTGTCGACGATGGTTCGCGGCGTACTGACTCCGCGGCTGGGTCCGCGCAGCGCAGCCGGGGCCTTGCGCTCGCGCTCGCGCCTTCACCTGTTGCAATTCTTATATACATCTATATATATGCTTGCAACGCGCCGCGCGCGGATAAGAAGGCGCACATGCTGCTGCGACTATACGGCTCGCTCGCTCGCGATAGCCACACGCTGAGAGCTGTGCAAGAGAGGCCCTTGCGGCTGTGGGCACACGGACACACACACGCGCGCGCGATTATTATATTATTACAAAACCGGACTCTGTGTATACTGCAGCTCTCTTGGAGCTCGGCGCGCGCGCCGGTGCAAAAACTCGTTCCTTCCGGGTCGCGTATATACGTATGCGCGTGCACGCGTACTTATCGCCGCGTCGCTCGGTGCGATATACGCGAGTACATCGTGTGTAACGCGCGCACGTGAATGAGCGAGGCAAGGGTGATGCCCTTTTCGAGTAAACAGTATCGCTTTGCTCTTTTTTTGCGCTTGTGCAGTTGTTCCGGGGTTTCCTGGAAAATATATCTACATTTTTACGTTAACGATATGTGTAGCTTTTGATTATTTCTGTATTGATTAATTGATGATTTGATAATTAGAAAAATGTTTTAATTTTGATTAATTATGCTAGGAATGAATGTTACGAGAAATTAAATATTGAATTTAGTTTTAATTACTGTTAAAATATTGAATCGTAGCATTTTTGATAGAAGTTATCGTCACTTCCGTGAAATGATATAATTAAGAATATCAAAATGTTCCTTTAAAATGTCTAATAAAACGATAACTAATAAATTAAGAAAACTGTACTTTGAACGAAACTCATAAAAATAATAAACCAACTGCTTATCTGTGCGACGTATTTTATTTCTAACTTTTAAGTGGTTTATTTGTGAGTACAAACTGCAGCAGAAGATTAAATTAAAATTTATATAAAGTTCGAGTTGTATATTGAAATAAAATTCTTAAAAAGATAAAATATTTTATTCTGCTTTCAATTGATCAACAAGCTTATGCTTTCGCATTTTCACATTTATAACAAGCTTTTACGTAGAATAATTTGCTCTTTCGTTATTTCTCCTACAGTAACAAATTCTGAAGAGTTCGCAGTCACTTTAAGTTTTACAGGTCGACATCGGTTGATTTTTCTGATTTCATATCATGATTCTGCTCATTCGTTGACCAAAAGGCCGAATAGCCTATACTCCCAGACTATAATGTTAAATATTTTCAATAGAGATTTATTTTTATATACGTGATGGAGAAAATTATTAAAATAAAAAAACAACGCTTTGGTAACAATGATTTATAAAAATATAAAAATTTTATTTCAAAGGTTCAAAGGTAAATGTTATATCATGTTGGTGAATACAAGATGCAGCTGATATGACACAGCTCCTTCCATTCGAAAATCAAAATGCATGCGAATGCAAACATATTTAAAAGGATCCATAATAAAATCAAGTTGTGCGTGTCGATCTTCGTCTGATCGTCTTTCGCCTCGTATTCATCGTCACTCGATTGCGGAATTCCGGCTCGATCCTCTGCGTCCATTTCATCCCACAGACGCAGTAAAAGATCCTCGAGACTCATTTTTTCGGCCACGATGCGGCAAACGGCGTACGGTAAATTCAACTTGCAGCGATCCGTCATAAACAAATCGGCAACAAATAATTCCAAGTGCGGTCTTATCAGAATGTTGGCCAGGTGTCTTTTAACTATGAGCAGCACGCGGCCATCCGTATGATGATCCAAAGGTGGTATGCGCCAATTTTTCATTTTCTTCAAGATCGAGTAACCCTCGTCGTAACTCATGCGGCAAATTTGATAGAGCGAGATGTCGCCCTTTATCTTAATGTCGTTTAACTTTGCAACTTGAATCTCCCATTCATCGAGAAGCTCCGGAAAGGGTCGATAATATATATCTTCCCGCGGTATACATTTTTTCAATTTTTTCAATTGTTCGCGCAAAAAATCGACATCATCTTGTAATATGAACAAACCTAACTTCTCGCGAATGTAAAGGTGATTTATAATTTCCCAGTACGTCACTTTTAACATTTCCTCCGTGCCCACGGGAATGAAATAGTCGATACTGTCTCCTCCCGCTTTCATCCAACATTTGAGCATCTTGAGTCTAGCGTCGAAGTCCATCGTGTAGCCAGCCGACCGCAGCAATCGCACCACCTCGACGATGTCCAAAGTCAGCGCGTAATTTTGCAATTGAGTCCAGGTGAAGTTCGGGACGAACATTTTGTCCCCGTTGAGACCTTGGAGGCTCGCGCCGTGCGCCAAGAGCGCCTCGACGAGCGTCGAGTCGAAACACGCGACCGCCGCCTGCAGAGGAGCGTCGCCGCGACGATCGCGCGTCTCGACGTCGGCCCCCTTTTTCACGAGCGCCGCGACGATCTCGTCGACCGGTTTTCTGTGCGAGCAGAAGAGGTACGCGGATGCGTTCTCGCACAGGCACGGCCGAGCCAGCGCGTGCAGCGGAGTCGATCCAGCCTCGTGATCCAGCCCGTTCGGATCGGCTCCGTGCTCCAATAGAATTTTCACGATGTCCGCGTGCCTGTACTGGGCGGCGACGTGCAGGGGCCGACGCTTCCAAGTGTCGAGATCGACGTCCACGCCACGATCGACGACGAATCGCTCCACCGTTGGAAAGTGGCCGGCCGCGCAGGCTCCGTGAAAGACCGTGTAGCCGTGCACGTCGCTGTAATTCTTACGCGCTTTCTTCAAGCAAGATCTCATGAGTCGGAGGGTCCTCCAACGAATTTTATAACTTCTGGAATTCTCCAATAATTCGGCCAAATAATGAAGGGCGGATCTTCCGTCCTCGAAAATGATACGCTGGGGTTTGGGATGACGCAGAAACCAGCCCCTGATGATTTCGTTGTCGTGCCTCAGTCCGATTTGCACGAGCCGATTCGTGTCCAAGACGCTGGGAAATAAGATCGCGTCGTTCATTACCTCCAATAGAAGCGGGTGCATGTCATCTCTGCGTTTATGTTCGTCCATCAAGTCCCACAGCTCCCAGCATCTATCCAAACCGGGTTTTACGCGTGTCAATTTATCTTTGATCTCTTGAATCGTTGTATGGTATTCTTGATTTTCTTCTGCCATTTTGGAAGATAACTCCGATACCGATTGACTTTTTTGTACTGACACTGAACAACACGTGCTCGGCACACTGCACCAACACTAGAAAATGAGGCTATATTAACGGGTGCGCGTAACTATACACATACTACGAGTCAGCGCAGTACAGTGAAATCATAGGCAGAGGCAAGGCTATGACGTCGCGAGCCGAATTTTAACATATGTTCTATACTCATGGGACTGTCAACGATTCATATATATATATATGTGTTAAACTCCGATGAACCGTGACGTTGTGGCAGCGCGCGCGTTAATTAGAAAGTACATTATATGCGCAGCGATGGCATCTAAGGCGTTTGCCACTGCGTAGCGCTCGAATGCGCCAGAAAAGAGGATGACAGACTAAGCGGGTATTTCAAAAGCTCTTACAACAGTAAAAACTTCAAGGTTCTTTTTATCTACGATTTGATATTTTTTCTAAAGTTTTATGTGACTTTTTTTAATTTTTAATGTGTTTTATATCAAATTGTCGTTTTAAATTTTTTTTGTTGAATTTTCTGTTTCAATTGTTATGCTTTAATAGCTTTGTCAGTGATTTTTGTAAGATACTCTAAAACGGGAGTTTAAATTTTCCCTTTCACTGAGTGTGACTTATCGACAGACGCAACATAGCTAATTTCGATTATATTAGTCTAATTTGGCTGCACTAGCTCTATCAATAAGCGAGACTCCGATAGTCATGTGTATCGTCAGTTTTCGACCACACTGGCACGACTGCGTCAAGCCATCTGACCCAGATTGAAATCCAACCTCGATGAACATTTTTTCTATTTAATAATTAATTTAATGATATAATAATTTTTTGAATTTTTTCCAAACATAAAATCTTGAAAAATATCCAAAAGAAGATGTTTAAACCGTTATAGAGTCCAAATTCACCGATTAAATTTTTTTTCTATGATTTTATCCGTTTTTTTTACCCAAATAATGGAATTTTCACCGAGAAAATCGCCATCAAACATTCAGACAAGTACAAGAGCTAAATATCTTAAAAAACTCGGTACGGCAAAAGCGAACTCATAGGTTTATTTTGGTTTTTTCCTGGAAATATAATTTATCGGAAAATCTGACTGCAACGCAAGAAAACTGAGAAAATTTTCGATGGAAACGAAAAAATTTAGGGTTACAAGAGCACAATTCGATGCATAGCTCAGCCAACTCAATTTATTAAGCTAATACAATTCAATTTATAATTTTCTATAGCGACAAACGTGAACTGAGTAACGTCACGTCAATACCACGCATTTGTAAACATACATAAGTAGAGTGTTTATTAAATGAAAGTAGCAACATCTCACAGTTCAAGGCGGTTTCCCAGTGTAGGAACCGTAGAATAAACGTCGCAGAGAACGATAAAATCGACCGTAGCCAGTGATTTTCTTAGAAGTCATAAATTTCACTTATAAGTTATTTTGTGTTTGAGTACAAGCGTGTAAAAAAGATGGCCAACGACGAATTCCAAAAACGTTTAAATGATCGCGATGTTGAAATTCTGGAATTAGAGAAAGGCCAAAAAAAATTAAAAACATTGAAGGACTTACGAAAACGGTTAAATTGGGAGATTATAGGAGAACGTGAACGTTTTTACTGGCAACTGTGTAGGTTGATCAATGATTGGAAGAGTCAACTTCCGAATCTCCGTGAGTTTTTTTGCAAAGAAGAGATCGATTGGCTGCTCACGAAATGTATGAAAATTGGTCCTGCGGCGTTGATGAAATTTGTGATAAGGACAGGATACAGAGACGAGCCCGACCTCGACGAAGACGGTAAACCATTGCTGCTTCGCGAAACAGCGATACATTACGCCGCCAGACGCGGGGTTCGCCATTGGACATCCAAGATTCGCGAGCTTTTTAAAGTTTACGACAAGTTCGACGCGAATTACACCGATGCGTTTAATTACACGCATTTTCACGCGGCCTGCATGTCCGGCTGCGTGGACATCGTCAAGGAATTCCTCGAGCTCGGCCAAGATCCCAATTGCATCGTTGAGAAAACAGGTGTTTCAGCTCTACTCTTGGCTCTGCATAATAAGCGATGGGACGTCGCCCAATTACTGCTGAGAAGTCACGCGGATCCGAATCGGACTGCCAAGGACGGAACGGCTCCACTTCACATCATTTGCCAAATGAAGCGCGGCGACATCCCAACGGGGGTGATAAAATCGTTGTTCGAGTGCAGCGACGAGAGATATCATCGGGTGCTCGTCGACGTTCGGGACTCGACGTACGGAGTCACGCCGTTGCACCTCGCTCTGAGGGCGAGACACACGGAGGTGGTCGAGCTGTTGCTGAGTCGAGGTGCCGATCCGAATCTGGCCAACAACGACGGATCGACCGCGCTGCATTACATCTGCGATGAAGCCACCCACGAAGCTGGAGACTTGGACGAGTCGCTGTTCGATCTATTGGAAAAATATCGGCCGCTTCGCGACATCCAAGCTCGGACCCGTGAGTGGGGTCGTACACCTCTTCACGGCGCCGCGCTGAACGGCAAAAGACGGATGATGGAGAAATTGTTGAGAAAGGGGGCCGATCCGAATTCGGTCAATAAAGCGGGATGGACGGTTCTGCACTATCTGATCAGGCGAGAGAACGACGATTGCGACGACGATCTGATGGAAAAGTTCTTCGAGATCGCCGATGACTTGGGGCGGACGGTGCGGCTCGAGGCCAAATGCGACGAGGGCGCGACGCCGCTCGAGGCCGCTCTGATATACGGGAGACAGCGATACGTCCAGGTGCTGCTGAGGAGGGGGGCCGATCCGAATTTCGTCAACGCCGTCCAGGAGAGGAAAACCGCTCTGCACATCATGGCGAGGCGCATAACGCAAGACGATCTGCCGGATAGGTTCTTCGAGACGTGCCGCGAAATCGGTAAGTCGGTCGATATAGAGGCCTTGGACTCGGACGGGATGACGCCGCTGAACTTGGCTCTGCACTTGGGCAAAGAGATCATGGTTGAATCATTGCTGAGGAACGGCGCGGATCCGAACAAGCACAGCCTTTTCTTCGGTCGGCCTCTGCACGTTATTTGCCGCCGAGACATCGACGACGACTCGGTGGAAAGGTTCCTTCGGATCTGCGACGATGTACAGCAAAAAGTGCAGATCGACGCTCGAGGCAAGTCGAGGCAAGACACCGCTCTGCACTCAGCTCTGTTCATGGGTAATAAACAGAACGCCAGAGATCTGCTCCGAAGAGGCGCCGATCCGAACGCAGTCGACGACCAAGGATGGACGCCGCTGCATATTAGTGCATTACGTAAAATAGACGACGACTCGCCGAAAATGTTCCTTGAGATCTGCAAGGATAGGCAGCTGGAGGTGCGGGTCAACGCTGGATGCAACTTAGAACGGACACCATTGTACATGGCTTTGCAGAACGGCCACAGAAAATTGACCGAGTCGCTATTGAGGAATGGCGCGAATGCTAACTTGGCTGACAGGAATGGATCGACTCCGCTGCACGTTATTTGCAGCAGAGACGTCGACGATGACTTGGTGAAGTTATTTTTCGAGATCGCCAATGATGTTCGGCAGACGGTCCAAATCGATGTTCAGGACGCTTGGGACTGGACACCGCTACAAACGGCCGTGGCAAATCTTTTGCCAAACGTAGTAGATGTACTCTTGGGTCGTGGGGCTGATCTGTCTAGCTTCATTTTTCCCACTGAGAATTACTTTTGCGAGAGATTTGACGAATATAAAAGCGACTACTGGGATAAATTGAAATTGGCATCTGGCATTCTAGCCGTCGTTGAATGCTTAAACAAAAGAGGCTACGAACTGGAAAGAAGCGATTTCCTGACGATCATTGAATTGTTCTACCATTACGAAATGTTCGAGGAATCGTCGGATGATCTGGAAAACAGTTTACGCGACGACGAGGAGTTCACGAGCATAGCCAAAGAGATAATTATCATTCCGAATCTGTCTCTGTACGATCTAATTCAGTTACGATCCGAAAAAGCTGCAAAACTACTCGCATACAAGAACTACTTCGAGATCGAGCGAGCGAACAATTTGGATAAAATCCCCGAACAATATCGCGATATGTGCTTGAGGCACCTTTGCGAAAAAGTATCGAGAAGATATTTTCAAAGGATGGCTTTAGAACCCTTTCAGGCGCTAATACATTACCGACTGCCGATTTTGTGCTGCGACAAAGTCATTGAGAATTTGACTAATAAGGATTTATCCAATATATTTGAGGCAGACGAAATCGAAACATAAATGGATCATTGCGAACGGTGCGAACAAAGGTATTTTCCTGTATTTTTATCCCCTTTCTAAATACTCTTTTTCACCACTTTTGCTGATTTATTTGTCGTTTTTTTTTGCAGGAAAAAAATTTATAATTTATAAATTGCAAATTCTTTGCAGCGAAATGATCATCAAGAAACTAACAAACGAAGATTTATGACGTATTTGTATGACAGCTACTGGTCACGATTTATGCTGAAAATGAGCATATTTACCTTAATTGTACAATATTTGGAAAAAAATAATACGCATGTTTTAAAGTATTTAAAAAATATTCTTACTGATTTCTTCCAACAAAATTGTAGAGAGATAAATGCCCAAAACAGCGATTTTTTTGTTCATACCACACCTGGATAGAAAAAATGAATTTTCACTATATTTATTTGCTGTGCATTATTTATATCATTTACAATGTACTTGTTATAGTAGATTCGCTGCTTATAAACTACCTCATAATGATCGATCTTTAAGCACTATAACTTCTGATTGTTGGCAAATGATATCTATACTTTTTATAACTGAACATTCATTTTAAATTAAATTCACAGAAATGTGATTTAAAAATAAGAACTTGCAACCATTGATTAATAAAGGAGGCTCTACACATAATACAAAAGATCATCCAACAAGATAAAACTTATATCAATCGATTTGTTAGATCATCGAAATGAGATTTCAAAAAAAACATGTGATTGACGATAAAACTTTCGAGATAAACAAGTTTGAAAATCGTCGTCGATTTTAACACGTGCTCTTATGGGACGCGGTCTTTTATTGTTCATAACTAATTTAAAAGATCAACCATCTTAATAAAAAATATATTTTCTGAAAGAGAAAGTTCCAAGCTTTCTATTGGTAAGTTAAAAATTAACCCTTAACGAACTAACTAATGAGTAATTAAACAAAATGTCCGTAAAATCATTGATTTCGAATAGTTCGAGCGGTTGTCCGCCTAATGCGAGAAAGAGACAGACAGATGATTCACTGTACTATTGTTATGATTGGTGTAGAGCCTTCTTGAGCAAAATTATAATTTTTATCGGTACACACTTGAAATAATATACAGTACACGAGCGGGTTATTTCAGAACTAAGGTATTAGAAAGCATCTGTAGATAAAACAGAAACCAAGAGGTAATTTACTCAGAAAATTACTTACCCCAAATATCTCTTCTAGATAACGTGACTACCTGCTTTATCGGCTGAAAATAATTTTCTTCTTTCTTTTACCCGACCGTCGAAGCAATTGTTTCTATTTTCTAAAAAAAGCTGACTAATCGCATCGCAATCATTTCATCGATATGGTCATTTCGAAAACACGTCAAATCTACGCGTTTTCGTATTCATAGCAATTGTTCAAAGTGCATACAATTCAAACGTTGTATTGCTGAAAAGAAAGTATCCTACTTCGGTCATGAAAGAGCAACTACATTTCCGGTACTTAACACGTTTTAGCTTTTAATGATTTTTGTTCAAAGATTCTATATAAGAAACTTAAAAGTTTTCAAATATTTCAGTCGCTTTTCAACAGTTCGCGAGAATGGGTCGCATTGTGAGTGTTGTATTTTTAGTGAGTTACAATTATTTATTTTTTTATTCGCGATTTAAAAATATTATCTAAAAATATTATTAATATTTTTTAGATATTTCTCATAGGATCCTCGATAGGCATAGTAGTGGAAGAGAGACCTGGATTTCCGAGGTTTACTCCGTCAATTTCCATTCGGCGTGAAAAAGCATTTGTTGCGCCCAAAAATATAAAAAATGATTCGAACAATCAAAATTCCAAATTTAACAAAATGGATGATTTCGCTAGAAAGACGAATCCATCAAAAATGTAAGAATTAATACTCGAAAACATATTTTACACTAATTCATCGATTGCTCGTATTTTCAGTTTCCCTACATCTTTACTGCAGCCAGTCTCGAATCCCAATTCAGAAATTCACGTGCGAAGGGCTCCTTTACCTCACGGATATCTATCGAATTTCGTTGATTTCAAGCCAATTCACGAAAACGACAATCAAGTACTTATCGATTTGACACCTCATAAACACAAATTCGACGGTTACACGTACTCCATACCAGACTCGAACGATGTGCAAATTCCAATTGGCGAACCGAAAAAATACGTTCCTTATTACCCATCGGACGATTTGGTAAAAGCTTTGCTAACTCTGGATAAGGCGTTGAAGCCTCTCTTAGACACCAATAGGGACAACAGTGCGTTACATCCTCCGTTGAATCCACTTCTGGCACTCGTGCTCTCGCGATACGGCAAGTACATTTCGGGTAAATCTCGTTTATATTCGTACACGGCCACCAATAACATGCACAACAATAGGCCCTTCGGCCAATACAAATACGAGTGCGATGAGAATCCCGTTTTCGTCAAATAATTCGTTCGCACTATTCGATCATCAAATGTGCAAATAAATCTCCATCGCTTTGGGTAAATCACCGGATCACAATTATAAAAGTTCGTCGATGAAGAAATAAAAATTGTTAACAACGTCTGTGCATTATAAATAAAATGATAAACAATCTCGATTGCGTTAATTTTATTGTTACTACTATACGACGGTATTGGTATTTATAAATTGCAGCGGAATGAAAGACACGAAGAGAGTGGATTAATACGCAGTTCCTTCCTGCAGGATGTAATTTATAAGCACTTCCTCGGTGGGTGCGTATGCGACGTAACGGCAATCTTTCAATAAATATAAATTACCCTTAAATGATTTCCGATTAATGTATACCGCAGCAGTGAGATGATCTTCGAAATAAGTCGGTGAAGAATAATTTGTCGAGGGATGAGAATAACTTTTTGGACGCGACGGATGAATTGTTAAATTTAAAAAAAAAAAGGCAAATGTCATTGATTCGGATTGGTATAAGTTATTTTTTTCAATGTAATCGAATACATTTTTTGTATTACTTATTACACAATTCGTGTGCAAAAATTTATAAATACAAAAATTAATTGTAATACGAATGAAAAGCATATAATGCTATACTAATTAGTGTGTAAAAAAGTGTACAATTGATATGAGATAAAAACTCAAAAAATTAGAAATTGGTCTTCGTAATGCTTGTAGCAAATAACGCGAGTAAATTTATGTAGAAAATGTTAATTTATTATTGCAGCATCAATCATCGATCAGGCATGTCACTCGATCGAGATACGTCATTTACCATTTAACATAATTTCCCGGAATTGTTCTTGTGAAAATCATATCGTTTCTAAGCTTCGGAGAATACAGCAAAGGTGCACAAGAGTCAGCTTAGAAAGGGGTATCGAGGTTTAATCTCAAACAATTCCCAAGTCAAATAAAACGAAAGTTTTCAGACGTCGCCGAGGCATACATATACATATCGTACAAAGCCCTCCCCGAGTTTACGCTCGCAGAAAGCTAACTATCGCGACCGCCGTTGTAATTAGAAGCCGAGGTAAAGCGAACACGCGCGCGAAAGTCCCGTCGAAAAGCCACCGGCAGCAGCAGCAGCAACAACAACGCAACGACCGGGATGCAAGCTTTACAGCTTCTATAATGTTCACCTGTGTGTGTGAGTATATACAAACAGAGAAAGAGATCGAGCGCGCGAAACTATATATAAATACAGGTTGGAGTTCTCGATACGTCGAAAGCGTCGAATGAAAAGATCCCTCGCAATGGCGTGTGAGCTTTTCGTGCTCGCTATAAAGCTCACTCGCTCTCGGCTGTGCGCGAAGCCGCGTGAAAAGCAAACGACCAACTTGCATATATATATGCAGCAGCTGAAGGCCCGGGGATGTAAGGTGAGCAAGTGTGTGTGTGTGTGTGTGTGTACTCATGGAGGACTCTTGGCACGTTTCCCGTGTTGCGGCCTCGTGGCGATGATGACGATGACGATGCCGTTGCTGAGTTCGCACTCGCGTCCAAGTTTCATCCTGCGATTGCTCACACGATGTTTTCCCTGGCGCGCGGCTATATTTGTTTTCCTCGACTCTGTGTGTGGATTATTCAGTGCAGCTCTCGATAGTTTCTCTCTCTCTCTCGTCTCTTATTCGCTTCATCTCAGACACACAGCTCGGCTTAATTGCTTTTTCGGACGCATGCAGGAGTTCTTCTTCCATCGAACCCGGCGCAGCGTATAGTCAGCGGTATACGAACCATATGTACTTATCCTCGGATGTTTGTGTTTGTGCATGCGCTCAAGGACTGCACAATTATTCGACCGACATCCGTACAATAGGTGCAAGCTTTTCGTATATATACCGAAAATCGAGAGGGCCGCGTATATACGTATGAGCAAACACGTGAGAAAATCGAGTCTAGCGAGCTACATGAGATCATTCGCGACGATATAGATATGTAGCTCGAACGGCGCTCCAAGTGTGTGTTACACGCTGTAGTATACAGGTACGCAAGAAGAAGAACCTCGCTCTCGCGCAACCCCGTGTTTTTACATCATTTCCTTGGCGCGTATAGGCGTGTTTCTCGTAGCTCTTTCTCTCTGTCTATCGTTCCGCGAGGGCTGCACCACGGTTCATGAAGCCGCAGCGAAGTAGCAGCAGTTCACTTATAAACGCACATAGGCACTCGCGCAGAGCACAGATACATGTATACGTATTGCTATACTAGAGTTCCAACTGCACGAGCTGTCTTGGAGCAGATAGCGCCAAACGGAAGTCGCTGCGCGCGCGCAAAGTAAATAGCGGACCGGGCGAAATTTTCTTTTTGGCAGATCTCAAACATTTGTCTTTGAACGAAAGACAGAGCGGCAGCAGCATCAGCAGCAGCAGTCCCTTCTATATATAGTAGATATATAGCACCGGTGGAGGTAGTAGTGGTGCCCGGGCTCGCGCTAAAAAACGACCGTAAGGAACAGACAAGAAGAAGGTAAAGATGGTCACGGGATGAAAACTGCCGTTCGTTGTTTGTCCAGACAGCGCGGACTGCACAGAATAGAGAAAAGCGACGCGTGCACTACTGCTGTGCACAACGTCTTTACCGAAGGCGCTGAATATTTCATGCGTTATAACAAATAATGTACAAGGTTTGATGAGCGTCAACTCGATCTGATTCTCGGGTCTGGGCTGGAGATTCTTTTTCGGAGTGAAAAAAGTATTACGACACATTTATCGACACTTTGAGGGTAATTCTCATCATCATCATCATCATCGTATACATAAAGAAACGATTCTCCGCCGGGGCGAGCTGTTGTGCGTGAACGCGCGAGACGGGTAGTCAAGGGCAGCGGCGCAGGAGCCGCGACACTATATACGACGTAGACGATCGATTAACGTCGCGGAGCATTATAATATATAGCATATAGACACACACACACATGGATACGCACTTACATTACGCACGACGAAGACGCAGCACATGATTGATCGTATCTATAAATGTCATCGAGCAATCTTGACATATATTATTATTATTACTATTAGAAATGTAAACGCTCGCCGGTAGACGTTCGTATTACATATCCATATAATAGTGAGCGAGTAGTTAAGTATGCGCGTATACATAAGGGAGTATATATTTTATCTTATAAGCGCGGCTCGCAATTGTTACAATGGGCCGTTGATTACCTTGTGTGTGTGTGCTCTAGGCTATATTTTTTACGTGCCCATTATTATTGCTATTGCGCGTAAAAATACCATGGCAATTTGCGCTACGGCGTTGCGTGTGTATACACTTTTTCTACGCATCATATATCGTCGGGTGAATTTCTCAACAAATATTTCGTTTCGTTTGTTTTATTATGTACGCATGGATATTAGCGGATATTTCAAATTTACCGAGAGCAATTGGTATACGTACATGCATCGAACGTAACAGCTTTAAATTGAATTCAATTAATGAATATCGCACAAAAAAATATATATTTCGATCCCGAATGCAAAATATTACTTTCAAACGCGATTAAAATATCGCGAGAGTTGAATCTTTATTTACGTTGTGCATCGAATGCATCGCGGGTAATTAAATTCGTATGTACAGACAATCAATTATTTCGTGGCATTTCTTGCGATTTCCGATGGATGAATTTATACATACATATTTACACCGAATTTGAGGAATGCCAAGTATTCGCGGAGAATCGTGATTCGCGCTGCTGCATTTTAAGTATGTACTTTGAGTCCTTCGGCGGGGGTATGATGAAATTTGAGCGCGAGCGACAGAGAGCTACGCTCTTCCGAATACCACCTCGGTCAAGTGCTCTACTTCGGAGGGCTGTACGGAAAATTTACGGAATTTACGAGAGAGATTCATCGTTGCATCGTAAGATTATATTATCGAGACAGCTCGAACGTCGAGCTGAGAATCCCAAGCATCGGCGACGGCGAATCTGCGGGAAATAGACGCGCGCGAATCATTACGATATCAGAGATACTGATTGACTTCCATTGTTTCTACCGCGACCGAATTCATACGAACGCGGATGATTTAGCTCTGCGTCGTGTGTTTTTCCAGTTGCCGCGTCTTTTTTGCATTCCGAGAACATCCATAGTTGCTCGCGCGGATGAATTATATACTGTACGCTCGCTTTCGGGAGCTCGAAAGGTATTACGTATAAATATAATACAGACGCCGAAGCCGACAAGAAGCTCCCAAGAAGCAGAGTGGAAAAATGAGAGATGATGGAGCAAGATTGATAAACATTACCCGTATATAAAGGCCAATTAGCGTGTATTATAATACTTCGTACCCACTTGAATCTGACTAATGATCTCGAGCATCTTATAGAGTGCGTATGCGTGTTTTACACACGTCGAGGCTCGTCAAATCGTTCTTTTTTTTTGTTCATCCACTCCCACCCCTGCACCTTCGCGCGTATACGCGATTCGACTCGTGTTCTCTCTCTAATCGTTGGAAATTATTCATTCGCTCCGTCTGTTTTATTTTTAACGCCGTGTAAAACAGCAGTTATCCATTAATAATATCCGAAAAACGAGTGTCTTGATGAGTTCGGGTACGTTCGATCATCGGTAGCGCGCGCCCCAGACACGAGCAGACATCCTTTTTTTTCCGCGTGCAAAAGCCCAAGACAAAAAAAAAACAGTGCCTCGTAGCGAAGACGAAGACGACTCGTGGGCGAGCAGAACTCCTCGAGCTTAGAGGGAACGTACAACACAAAAAAGAAAAGGTCGAGTGAAAAAAAAATTAGCCATGGCTCGAGGACGAAGCTCGTAAGTGCAAAAAAATAATGCTCTATCTCTTTCTCTCTCACTCAGGGTTATTACAAATCTACACAGCAGCAGCAGCAGCAGCAGCAACCGAGCTGAGAATATATAAATATAGTACGTACACGAGCCCCCGAGGAACGGCGGAAATGACCGAAGCGCAGTGGAACGTCCCCCTCGCGCTCCGTCCGCATTATATGTATATAGTTGCATATAGGACCT